ATTGAGAGAGTCGCAAAACGCGCTGCGTTGCAGACCGGTGTAAATGAGAAGAAAATTCCACAAACTTGTTCGCCGCAGGGGCTACCCCCAGGCGTTTCGCAGTGGATTCAAGAGGGGAAGGGGGTTTCCCATATGCAAAATATTATCAACATGGATTTATCATCAAAAATATGTGCGGTATTACAAAATTGCAAATCTCTGTAAATATTATTAATAAATTTAAAAATTTCTTAAAATAATCTTGCAATATAGAGATATTAAAGTAGATAAGTTAATACACGATCATTTAATATAATAATCTATCGTTACTATATATTTGCAATATATTTCTCGTTTTACATAAAACGATATAAAATTTATTTTTTTGTGAAGTTATATATTTTTCTGTTGCACGATGTTAGCTATTAGTTTATTGTAAAAATATAAATTAAATATAAATAAATTTCATTTGTCATGAAAAATTTCATCAATTTTTCATTGATATTATTATTAACATTTTATTAATATTAACTAGCAATTATTCTTATTGCTTTACTATGTTTTTAAAATTTAAATTTTTAATAAAACAGTCCTGAGGCTGAAAATGAGAAACGTTAAATAATTTAAACTTTATGTAATATTCAAGCATATAATTGTATGAAAGCATGAAATAATATTTTGTATTATAGAAACAGATTTATATCCGCTTTCTTTCTGCAACATTCTTTTTTCTTTCTGAACCTTTTACCGGCGCTTTGACTTAATATACCTCTTAAGTTTGTGCACTTAAGATGAAATAAGTATCTGTCCACACTTTACAGAAATAAAAACAAGAGAGAATACAAGCACAGAAGATGTAGCTAAAAGCAACAGAGTTATTAACTATTTAATTTTCGGTCAACGGGTAGATTCAGGAAATTAAAGTCTCGTGCAAAGCTCGAACTGCAATTGAATCTAATCGATGTACATTTGCGGATCTAATTAAATAGTTTCGCTTACCCGGAGAATAAATATTTGCGATTTCCTTAAAATGTGCTCATTCAGCTCAACTATTAGCGCGAAAAAAAAAACAGATTACGTTTGCCGGTATTGCGAGGAGCGGCGCTAAATAAATCTCGAGTTGGGATTCGTGAAAAATAAAAAAAAAGTTTCGTCGCGCTAATTTAAATGATGATTAATTACGCCGATTACGCGCCACTCAGGAAATCATGTGGCCGGGTTTTCGGTTGATGCGAGGGAGAAACTTGGGCCAGAGAATAGTCGGAAATGTTCTGGGATTCTTCCCAGGATGACGCGCAATTAAAATAACGAAACACAACGGCTCTCACGTAATTCCGAAAGACCCGTCTCTTCCCGCGGTTCGTACATTAACGAAGATATTACACCGCTGTCTCTGTGCTTGACCTCGTATTTAGGAGCAGGCAAACAAGAAGCTAAGTATATATACGACACTGTGATGTAATCCCGACTTTTTCTGGAATACAACATAAGTAATATTCACGAGAGAGCGCGGCATGCGTGTGATATTCTCAATATGATTTATATTGAAATTTATCGTGCCCCTCGCGCGCAATTGAACCACCTCTTATCGAGTCTAATTTTATGAGTGGCACGTAATGCATTTCTCACATTCTTACTCTCTCCTTTATGAAAGTCGATTTTCCACGACCCAATTTTAATGATCGTTCCGCATGAGTGATTAAAAGTGAAAAAAACATCACTATTAATAACGACAAAGACCCTGATGTAAAATACATTTTTGCGGAATTTGTCGCTTGTACTGAACTACGAACCGGAGCACGTGGACGCCTTAAGGATTTACGAGACGTCTTAAAAACGATGCCATTTTACAGAATCTTTTAACCTTTACGCTGCTCGGGGAAATACTTTTCTCTCCATTTTTGTTCCACTTTCGACAGTAGCGCTCTACGTGCAAATTCATCTCACGATTCATAAAAGAGAAACGATTTCAAGATAATAATTGCAATTGCAGTGGATGACCTAATAATACCGGGGCATCAGACTGATACTCTCCGAAATTGTTTCGTAATGAACGAAGATTGTTAAAGCGAAATCGGAACTCTTTAAATAACGGGAGGATCTATCTTTTATAATTAAGCTTGTTGAAACGACCTTTGTCACGTGATTTTAAATATGACTACTTAACGACGTTAAAAGAATTTTTAACGAAGCGACTGGAACAATCGTCTGACAAATTTTTCTCAATTTTTGCTATCTAATATAAATATAAGAGAATGAATTAAAATAGATAATATATTTATTTAATATATTATAAAGTATAACCAGAGATATTATAGAATATATAAACAGGGAATATATTATTATTACATTTATTACGTTATTATAATTTTATAACACATGCAAACATTATGTTCGTTACATATTATTATAATATTAATATTATTAAAAGAAATATTATTATATATAATAATATTACTAAATTATTTCAAATTTAAACTATGTAAAATGTATTAATGTACTTCGAAGTACTAAAAATTTTTCAAAAAAAGCTTTTGTTTTCCATGGCTAACAGTATTAACAATTAATATCTCGCTTAGCGATACATCGCAATAATAATGTATATAATCAATACAGCAATATTTATATAATTATCAATTAAGAATAATTAAGATAATCAGAAATATTTCTTCTGAATTTTTTACAAATTAAATTTTTTATGAAAAAATAAACGTTAATCCTGTTTACACACTGATATTTTCTTTTGTGAAATGAATACATTGATGCGCATAAGCAAGGCTTTAGAAGTCACTGATTGTGAGAACAAAGATTTTCTCGCGAATTTAGCGTTAAATTGATGGTAGGACATAACACACCGTGCGACGTGAAGGCCAACGGAAAATTGTAACGTGCCTTCCAAATTTAGTGATGGCCATTCGTCTAGTCGCGAACCGGAGATATATGCAATATATGCCACCGCGATAAGACTCGCCAACAGAACAAATGTAAGTGCAGATTATACGTAGGATATCAAAGCAACTATGTATGCATACAGTCTGCGTTATACACGATATACCCTGGACAATGTAACATTCACGAGATGCATACATATATTCTAGCTTTCAGAGGCGGAAGATACATTATCGTGATAAGATATTCGTATAAATATTAAATAATTAATTGTAATATTCATAGTAAAAAAACATAGACTTTTTTCCCCACTTTCAATCACTCGTGGAACGATTATCATAAAATTAGATCGTGAAAATTCAAATTATAAAAGGGAAGATAAGAACGTGAGAGGAATTCATTACGTGTTCCTCATAAAATTAGATTCTATTAAAGATAGATTCAATATAAAAGTTCAGTATATAAAGGTTTACTTCTTTTATATCGCTTATGAAATTAGACGTAATATTACTGCAGGTGGCAGTTATAAAAGATACGACTGTTTCTTGAGATAAGAATGTAAAAAAAATATTGATGCAATCAATTACGAAGATAAAATTTATGTACATACGCGCGTATTATTTCAACAACACACATTCCCTTTCTTCGCTCCGAATTGCGTAATTATGTAATACAGAAATTAAATAAAAATCGAAACATTTTAGTTTATAGAATACAGTTGAAACGGTTAACTATGACAGCTTTCATTGCAATGTTGGAAAAATAGATTGAAGTGTCGATGTGCGAATAAAATAAATACGAAGTTTATTATTTCTTCGGTCTACCTGTTTAAATAAATGAGTGCTTTAAATTTTTCTGTACTCCAAAAGATCGATATGTTATCTCGTTGTGGTGACAGTACGTATAACAAACTTAAATTCTAACGATTGAGGGAATACAGATGTCCGCATCAATCGGATGACCAGCGGTTACCGGTAGAGAAATTAGCGGGTATCGGTAAAAGCGTGCCGTTAAAATTAACGTCAAATATATCAGAAATAAATTAGTTATAGTCCATTTCTATTAATGTAGATTAACTTTAATCTCGGTTTAACTTTTTATCTCTTTCTAGTTCTATAAGAATCAAAAAAAGATAAAAAGTAATTAAGTTGAAGCGAGATTAAAATTAAATTGATAGAAATGGATATTAAAATTCCTCAAGTAAGTATTAAGACGTCATTAATAAGAAAAATCTTATAAGATAGAATTAGAAGAGATAGAATAAGAAAGCAACATCATTTTTTATTACGGCTATTACTCTCTATCTTTTTCTGTCTATCGCTTGTTTCCTATTGCATATAGCGCAACCAATCAAAAATCGTCACTTAATGTCCTAGCTCTTTTATTTGAGGAACTCCATACATGTAATATTACTATATCGTTAGTTGCATTTTTTCTCAAAGAATACCGCCTATGCTAAATGCAACGCGGCGAAATGCAACGTAAAAGCCAATAGATGTGTCATCTTTTTTTAGGAGCTATCAGTTTATTGCGCGTTCATCGCGCGGCAAGCATTTCTGCGTCCAGTGTGCAGGAGCCTTAAGAATGGAGGAAAATCAACCCCTTTTGCACTTTCCACACCTTTTACAATCCGTGTACTGTAAAATGCGCATGCGCTTATGGTATCTATGTAATGGTCCTGTCAAGATTAGATATTGTGTTAAATATTTTCAGTCTGTGTGACTTTTCTTCTACAGAAATAGCAGAATCGCATTAATTTCCTTTAATGTATCTACGTTATTTCACGTGGGCACTAAATGTGATAACACGTACGCGATATGAAATGAATTAGAAACGCACGCATGCGCATTTGCATGTAATACACGAACTGTGGAAGCGAGAGGGTGATATCGTCTGTTTGCACCGTGATGTTTTCACCCGTTCAATCTTTATTAATATAATAGTTTAAATTAGATTTAATAATGCGAATCACCTCTCGCCGAATGCCTTCAAAGTTTCCGCGTCGAGTGTGCAGGAGCTATAAATTTGAAACTTTCAAATTTATAGCTTCTGCACACTGGACGCGGAAACGCTTGCCGCGCGGCAAGACACGACGTGGTAACCAATGGATGTGTAATTTTTCTCTAGGAGCTATAAGCACAGTATAACATTGGCTATCGCGTTACATCTTACCGCGCAAGCGTTTCGGCATCCAGTCAAATCCAGTGTGTAGGAACCATAAAATGCCATTTTGACATAGAAACTAGAAGTGTAAACGCTGTAAACATCGCTCGCTGCCACGAGTTCCACGCCGCACGTGCTCGCACATTTGCTACAATATTTAAATGATACAAGAATTGATAAGAATGGAATAAGACGAATACTAGAAAATACGTCTGGACTTCTGGCCTTATTTGGAAATTCAGAAACGCTAAAGAAATCTAGTACTGAGATCCATTGGGATCCTGAAATCCGAAGACAATTAAGAAGAAGACAAATAAATGAACATGAACGAACAGGAGATGTTGAGCACATTTCGTGCCCTGCGAATATCGAAGCAAAAAGGTGAGCTCGACATTGATGATGAATTCGCAGAGTGGTGCAAATGGCGAGGTATCTTGGATTACAGTACTTTGAATGAGTGCCTTTGGCATTATAGCGAAGAGGTAACAGTTTATTCATATTAACAACTCTTAGAAATAATCTATTTTATAAGTAACATCCGCTTTAGAAATGTAAGAAATGTAAAAAATGTAAGTAATATTTTAGATAGGCAAAGAAGCAATCTTTCATTTTTTTTTGTCTTATAGTGCAAATTGGAGATGTTAGCACTCTTAGTGGAATCAAAGAAAAGCACGTTACGATTTACGCACCACGAACTTGATATAATTTTGCAATTTTTGCAATATAATTTGGGTGAGAAGATGGAATATGTACCTTTAATTAAAAAGGTAAGAAGAAACACATATCTCTTTCTCAATATTGGTTCTCATGAAAATCTCACCTTTAAAATGAATCTATCATCTTTTACAGGCCTTAAAACGGCTGAAAGATAGTTTGGCTGTTTTGCGGAGACAATTGTCTCACGAAGAAAAGATGAGAAATCGTTACAACGAACAAAACACTCTAGTCGAGTCTTGTCGAACAGTTGAAAAACAATTTTTGCACGAAATTAATCTAATACGTAATGTGAGGGATTACGTTAATTTTTTTGTAAACTTGCGTTTAGAATGCGTGAGCAATTTGTATGCAGATGCAACGTACGCTCGTAGACGTTCCAGCTTGCAGATACTTTTACTTACGCAAGATCTTTATGATGAATTCAAAGATATACTTTCACTTCCGCAAATAGGTACTTTACTCCCTCGTCATGATTTCCAAAATGTCGAATGGAAACAAGACCAAGTTTCGACGATATTCCAATGTTTAATGCTAGATACATACGAATCGAATAAGGAAATGGAATATCGGATCATAAAATCAATTTTGTTGTCCAATCCAGCATTGTTGGACTTAAATCATTTACACCTGTTTCATATTGCACTTAAATTTGCTGACAGCGTACGACCTATTGACAGTGTTACGGCTGCATATTTGTTAAAAATATTCAAGTTATCTCCTGATATAAACTGTGTAGTCGATTTAGTTTTTGATTTCTATGATGTAAAATCAGATCCCGAAATTCCAGAAGTAGTAACACTGAAATTAGTTTTACTGCTACACAAAACATTGCAAGTATGTACAAGACATAATATTTATTCTAACGTCATCAAATGTAAAGTTTTAAAATGTAAAAAATACAATATACAGAACATATTGCGATTATTTTTGCAGCAAACGTTAGCTTTAGCAAAAGAAAAGGGATTAGGAATGGCAATCGTTAAAAATTCTTTATACGGACATTTATTTTGCATAAGAAGTTTGCTTTCAGATTGTGACTTAAGGTAATTAACAAAATACGATTATACGCATTATAAATTATTTTTGAAAAAATTGATATATTTATGTCATTTTTGCTTCAGAGGCATGAAAACAACTGAAATGTGGCAATTATTCATAGATAAAATTATAAAATTGTGCTTTGAATTGAATCGTGCTGTTTCTGTGGTAGTAAATAATTCCTCGCCGGAAGGACATTTACCAATGGACTCGAAAACATTAAATTTAGACGAGACATTACCCGAGAAGGAAATTATAACGCCACAAATGGTGCTACTTTGTTCTTGGCGCACAGTTAAAGAAGTCAGCCAGTTGTTTGGTCTACTTGCCACCGAAGCGTCGATACAAACTGCTGAACCTCCAAACGGACTACTGACAATGGAACAAGTGAGATTTGCAGATATGCATGTTTTGATGTTTTAACGAAATGTAAAATGAACTAATGTGTTAACAGATTGAAAAGATGATGAAACATTTAGTCTCGTTATTGTGCGAAACGAAGCATAGAGGTGCGTTTGAACAAGTGTACGTTGGTTTTCATCAATTATGCACGCGATTATGGCAATTAACAGACACGACTCTAAATACGCTCCCTATGCGTTGGTTGCACGATATCTTAATAGGCATTACAGGATTAATGCCAGGCTACACGAAATTATGTGCGACAAGAAGAAGTGCGGGTGTCCCATTTATGATACAGGTATGAGCAAAAAGAAATCGTTATTGAAAAATCGAGATCTCAGAGATATAATACTAAAACGAATTTATTTCAAAACAGGCAGTGTTATCCTCGGAACCAAAAATCCGTAATAATTCAAAAGTGGCTGCGTTTCCTTCGGTCATGAAAATTTTATTGCAATTCTCGCAACTCGAGACAGTTGACAATCTGCGGCAGGAAGTAAAGAACATAATGTACCGAGATACAAATATATTTTCTGAATACGAGCATTTAACTGAATCGATAATAAAAAGTAGCGACGAGCATCATGCAGAAACGATCAAACTTGATATAACCGAGATAAGAATTCATTCCATGAATATTCTTAGAGCCTTATTTAGACATTGTCAATTCAGAAACATGACTAAGAATTACATTGCAGACGGTTTCATAGTTGCCTTTAAAAATTACGAAAGAACATGGCCGGTAAGTGTTATACATATATTATTTTTATATTAATTTGAAAATATTAATATTATTCTAATCATATGCGTATGCAGAAAATAATTTTTAATCGGTTCGCAGGAACGTAACGCGGCTACATTATTGTTTAGCGCACTTATGATACGAACTTTTGGTGTTCAAAGAACCAAGGATCACATCAATTTGACAACGGACAACAAAATGACAGCGAGAATATTTTTCGATAGATATCCCAATTTGTTGGATTTTATTTTGTCTAAATTGCACGCCTTCGTATCGATTAAAGATATCATAATAGAATCCAGCGTACAAGCAATTTTATTGCTACTATCACGATTGTATATAAATTACCATTTTGATGGCACCGATATTGCTTGGGTATTTATATATTTATATACAATTTTTTTCCAAATTGTCAGTTAGAGAGGAAGATGTATTACGACAGATGTGTTTTCAGATAAATAAAATTGTTAGTTTGGTATCGCAATGCGCTAAAAGTCCTGCACATAACACACGTGAGCTTGCAGCTAGAGCGCTGGTGTCATTATTAACAGAGAGTACAGCCTATGGCATGGTGAAAAAGTTACTTTTATGTACAGCACGAGGTACCCGGATCTCAATGAATCTCACGCATGGCTATTTACTACAGGCAAGTCACAAAACGACAATACTAGAGAATATAATCATATATATATATATATATATATATATGATTAAAATTTTAATTCTTGATTGATTAAATTATAGATATTCGAGATCTTAACGAGGTTGCCATCCGTCCGCATGCAACTATTAAAATCTGACGTCACAGATTTTTTACGCGGGACAGATTGGATATTGAAGGGATTGGAGAGAAGAACTGATGAATTCAGTTGTTTTTTCATAGCTAGTGTATATATTGACATCCTTAATGAATTATATAATTCAGACAAAAATATGTAAGAAAGATAAATTCACAAAATTATAACATCGAGACAGACTTTGTACATATTTTTCATCATGTTTTCAGGGTTGAAAATTGTAATATGGAGGATATATTGTATATCCTGCAAGGGCACTTAGTCGCGGAAGATCTTTTAAGACAAGGACCGGGTGAACAAATGTACAAAACGTCTGTGATAAAATTCATACTTTCTATGGCGAAATATTCAAGTTTCTTGCAAAAGCTGCACAATGAGCGAAGTAATGCATTCATCATATATTCACGGCTTTTAATCATGCCAGAAGCCGAGATACAGAGCGTTGCTTGGACTACTGTTTCCGAAATACTAAAGAAAGATTCTTATCCGCAAAGAAAATTATTGAGCACTTACGCTATTCGCATAATTACCGATTTCGCCCCAGATTTATATAAATATAATCCTGATTTACAAGATGCGATTTTTGATTTCTTATATAATAGCTTGATGGACGAACGTCGCGTCATCGACAAACGTGAAATTTGTAACTTGGTTCTTACGAAAATACATCTACATGATGCAAATAATATCTATTCACAACGTGTTAATTACTTGAGATTGCTAGGAAAATGTATGACGACAATAACTCGTGAATTAAAGGTTTGCTCGTTATTTCACTCATTTTTTACATTTACTTTTTTCGATCTCTTCTGTTCTTTATTTTTCCTTGCTATACTTTGTCCTTACTATACTTCGACATATCTTTGTATTCTTTTTAATATCTTTTTATATCCTTAAAGAATGAAGATCTTAAATGGGAATACGCGGAAGACATTTATAGGAAAGTCTGTGACAACACCTGGATTGGTTTGTTGAATGAAAATTTTAGATTATCAGTTTTCGACATATTGTACGAACTTTTTGATAAAGGCCCTACAAGTATGTATGATTCAAGGATTTCTACAGCCAATGGAATTAGACTCGTATAAATATAACGTAAAAATGATCTTTTTATAGGTGCCACATTGGACTGGTGGACAATGCTGTTACAATTATTAGTCGATGACAATGTGGACGTTCGACGCGATGCGTCCAAACTGATATGTAGACTCGAACCGTGCACCGAATTGGAATGTTTCGAGAAAATTTTAGGAACATTCTTGCAAAAATTTACCAACATCGTTGGTTTTAAGTATCCCGAACTAGCAATTAGTGCCCTATTCTGCTGGGGCATCTCGTTATTAGGAGATATGGATTACGAAATGGACGAAACCGATGTAAGTGAATCTATGCAAGATATAACGAGAAAAGCTCCAGATATTATATGTATAATAATATTCGTCATATGTGATTGTAATTTAAATGTTTAGGTATTCAACAAATGTAGGAATTATGATGTCTTCCAACCCGTGAGAATGGCAGAGTTGTGTTCCACCTTCATGAAGACGATATTTGAGCATTCCGAATTTTCCATTTATAAAGCAATACCACCGTGTGCTGTGAAATGGATAAATTATCGTTTAGGTACTGACTTTCCTGTAGAGTCAACTTTTAAGGAAATTATATATAATTATGAAAGCAATATGCCGAAACTCAAATCTGAACTTGAAGAATTTTTGGATCCAACATTTAAGGATAAACTATTCCAAGTTTCAGCATTTAAAGAATATGCATCGTCTTTAAAAATTTACTTTCATTAACAAATGACAAAGACATTTATTTTCCAGTATAAGGAAGGATATTTAATTTAAATGATGATGATGAAGAATGACAGATAATTTGTTAATTGTATTTAATTTTATATATTACGAATAAATAAAATATATAAATTTGATAAAACTCATGCGTTTTTCACAATGTCTTAAACTTCATGAACAAAGTCATAAAAATGATATTTTAAATGTTAAAAGTTATATGTTAAAATTAAAAAAATATTTGGCAGAAGTAGTAGTATTCTACATATAATTCAAAGAATAAGTTTTGAAGGAATAGTAATTTTATTTCTATTTTTATATTTTGATTATTATCTTCGAATATTGAAAATATATTAAACAAATAGCTGCAACTAATACACTACTTTAGGCATTTTTAATAATTTTTCAAATTCTATTTTTTCTACTATGTTAAATAATTTGTGTGCGTGTGATTGGTTTGTTGGTTTTTGCTTTTGAATAATTTCAGTTTATAAAAAAAGTATTTCGTATTTTTTATTTCTGCGCTAATAATAGCCGTTTTAGTTGCCTTTTTCGCACTTCCCACATTTATTTTCTTTGTCTTTTCTCCCTATATAAATTAAATTTATATTCATTTCACGTACAAAGTGCAGCCAAAAGGAACCTATATTCTTAATTACGACGTGAAAAATGTCATTAGCTTGCGCTTTAAACGTTTCGATCCTTCGAGATTGTATCGTTCTTTGACATTGTGATTCTCGAAGTATCGTTTTCCTAATGGTAGTTGTGGAAACGGTCATTCGCCAACGAATCACGAAATCGCGTTCAGCTCGCGCTCCGTATTTTTCACGGTATTTTTCACGATTATTACTATCCAATAGCGAATCTCGCGTGCGACGAATCGAACGTATCCCGTAAAGTGCCCGCGATGACAAAAGCAATCGCGTACAATCGCTTATTGCATGTCAATATCGCGATTTCGATATCGACAATCTACCTGCACTGTGCGCCTGTCTCGATCGAAATCTTCGCATCGCACGATAGCGTCCTCGCCGAGACACAGTTACAATTTAATTAATACGCAATCGCCATTAGATATCCATCGTTATTATTATGATAATCATTTATTACGGTATTCCTTAAATTCTCCATCTCTAAAAGGAATATTTCTGACACTCACCGCTGGTAATTTCGTATTTCTCATATAATTACTTTTTTGGAAAATGGATCCTCGTATCTTCAAGAAATTATTTTCTTTCTTTTCATATTTAGAAGAAAACAATACTTTCCCGCGGCCGCAGCAATTCATCTCCCGCGTCGCATCTAGTGAATAACGGTCTCGCGCATGTAATAACGATTATTACTCCAATTAGTATACGTAAACGCGTACGCGAAGAAGAGCTTCTCGCGTTCGGCGCGCGGTGTCGCCACCGCGCGGCGGCGGCTCGCCGCGGCGGCGCGGCGGCCGAGCCGGGCCGAGCACGGCCGAGCGGGGCCGACTCGCACGCGTATTTCGCGACGCGACGTGCTACCGTGCGACTACCCGTCGTCACTCCCCCGTGTTTTTCCTGTTTTTCGCGCCTCCGCGTCGTGACCGTCCGCGTTTCGCACGCGTCAATGCCCGCCGCCCGCGCCCGACCGGTGACGGCGCGTCCGCGCGCCCCCCGCCGATTGTGAAAGCCCCGAAAACCGCGACGTACACCCTCCCCGCGCGCGCTCCACGCACGCACGCACGACGCACGCACGTACGTACACAACACACCACATACGCTCTCTCACGCACACGTCGCACGTACGCACGGGTGGTGCGTGTACGGTGTGTGCTCGTGCCCGCTGGTGTTCGACAGGATAGGAGGCATGGAGTGTGTTCAGTGCGCCCGTTTCAAATCGTCACGGGCCGTTACCTCAGCCCCGTACGCAGCAAGGTGAGTTACGTCTTGACACGCTTTATTCGAGATACCTGGACCCGGAAGGAGGGAAGGGGGGGGGGCGGGTTAGGGCGGGAAGAGAGACGATGAAGGGTCCTCGAGAGAGCCGCGAATCGCCGCGGGACCCGGGTGCGAGGACTGTCAGCCGCGAATCCGCTCCGAGAGGACGAGAGGAGCAGATCTACCTTCTCGCTCCGCTCATTCTTGTCCTCCTTCCTCCCGTTCCCCCCCCTCCCTCCCTCCCTCCCCCTCACTCTCACTCCGCTCCGGTACCTGACCTACTTGCGCGCGAGCTGTCATCCTACGGTCGGTACTATTCTCCCCGGCTGTGGCCGGCCCTTTGGACACCCGTTACTCCTCTCCGCGCGCGGCCTGCCTGCCTTCGCGCGAATCTCGTCGCGGAGGAAGGACCGAGGCACAGGCCCGGGTTACTCGCGCGGAGAGTGGTCGCGTGAAGGGTGGACAGAGAGTGACGGCGAGCGCGTAAGTGCGGAGGCACGACGAGGACAACAACAACGACGACGACGACAACGACGACGACGACAACGACGACGACGACGACGTGGACGTGGACGTGGACGTGGACGTGGACGAAGGGAGAAAAAGGAAGAGGGGAGAGGAAACGAGTTTGAAAACTGGCACCGCCGGTCGATCGCCGCCGCACCAGGTGATTCCCGAAGCGCGTTATTTTTCCCCCCTCAGAAGAGCGGAATGCTAAACAGTCATCGAGCGCTCGATCGACTAACGGCGTCTTCCCGAACGCTCTTTCCTCACCTCATCTCGCTCTTACTCTCTTTCTGTCCCCTCCCCCCCATCCCCCCTTCGCCCGGCTCGCTCTCGTCTCGCTGCTCTCTTCCCTCCTTCCCTCCGTTTCCCCTCTCTTCCTCCCCCCCGCTCGCTCTCCTTCTCTCTCGTATCTTCTCTCCCTCGAGGGAGAAAGGTCATCGGTCTCGAATTCATCTTTTGTCCGCGCTTCTCGCACAGAGTACGGTGTTTTCTCTTTCGTCTCTCTCTTTCTCTTTCTCTCTCTTTCTCTCTCCTGTCTCTCACGACGAACTTCTCGGGTTTCCTTTAACGAACGTCCGCGCGAGAAATTTACGAGCGGTTCGCGGAATCGAACGCGTCGCGCCGCGTCGCGCCGCCGCGCGTCCTATCGACGTCACACGCCGCCCGGTGCCGCGACACCGATTTTCGTGCATAAATATCGCGGACCCGGCATGAATCAGCGTGAACCTTTTGCAACAGCTGGCTCCGGATAACGTTAACGCGGGAAACGACACCGTGATTTTGCGATGGGAATTGCCGCGACGACTCGCGGTCGTTTTATATAGCGACGAACATTATGCGTGTGGCAAACATCCTTGGCGTTCTACTACGTTCGAAAACACGCAGTGTCGTGGAAATTATCAAAATTGGAGCAAGTGCTTCGGAGAAAATGTGTGAGGAAAATGTAGAAAAGAGGGAAACACGTTCGGATGATTAATAAATTTTCTAATTGACAGTTGTAATTGCAGTGAAAACAAAGTGGACCACTTACCAAAATACTACACGTAAATTATTTTTCCTTACAAATTTTGCCGTTGCAACGTGTCACATGCTTGTCGTGTTAAATTTTACCGACATTTATTTTTGTTCCCTCTCGCGCGTTAGTGTCTCTAGAATTTATGTCACGAACTGTTTTCGAAACGTCATTCTATTATAAGATATCAGATCGTGTGCGAGTTACTCCCAATTTTCTGCAATTTTCTCCGCAAATTTGCCACTTGAAAAATTCCAGTGAGAACTGAGGCGTATTTTTATAAAAGAAATCGTGTCGCCGGAACGATTTGTAATAACGCGAAAATAGCGTCTAAATCGAAGGTATTTGTTAAAGCGTTCCATAAAGCTGAGCGCTCCGGATCGCGCGACGTCTCACGCGCAACGGTCCAATAAATCAACGTACATCTCGAATATTCGCGAACGTATTCGCGTACTACGTGGAGGTATTGATTTTACAAGACAAAAATAAAAACAGGAGCTACTACTACGCACGCATGTAAATCGACGCTACCGATATCGATCCCGAAGTTTCCCACCGGTGCTGGCAGGCGCGAGATCGTGAAATGAAATTTGTCGCGAGGTAGCCGTCCGACGGCAGCGACGGCACGCCGCGCCGCTCGTTCACGGGGAACGTCTTTTGTACACATACCTACGTTTCACGTGCCGCCGGCCTATTTGTTTTGCCGCGCCTGCGGCGGCCGGTAGTCCGCCCCGCGCGCGGCCCAGCGTCATTTCGACAATAACGTCGCGCGATCACGCGACCGTGCCGGACAGAAGAACGCGTAATTTATGCAAAATGCGAGCCGTGCGCCGCGCTGGCCGGTCCGGCTGACCGGCCGGCCCACGGCCAACCGCTTGCTTCGTGACCGCCGCTAGTTACGCAATGACAAAACAGCGTTCTAACAACGGCGATTGACTGCCGTTACAGTTACGGCGTGTGTCTGTGTGGAAAATATTTCCGAATGTTCGCCTCCCCTCCCCTTATCGTTCTATTCTGTAATCATGGTTATCGCGATAGCACAATGTAATTATTATAATGAAAAATCTTTTTTCCATCCGCAAAGAAGTATCTGTCTAGATTATTTATGGTAATTAAATCATTTTGTGTATAATTGCGGATTGAATATTTTCTATTTTATTTCTTATTAATTTACACTGTTTAAATTTGATGTTTACACTGTTTAGATTTTATTAACTGCTGTGTACCTCCGCTTTTACGACGACTGTTAATTGCTTGCTCTTTTTTTTCAATCTTTTTAAAAATGCGCCATGTGCGTTAGATTCCGGTAAAGGATTGTCTGGTTTAAATATATGAATGTATATACTTCGCATAAACATCTTCCTGTTCGTAAACAGAACTCCTCTCCTGGGATTTGATGCATACGGTGCATTTTTTGGCTTTTAATTTTATGCAATGTATGGCCTTTAGTTTTATGTTTCTTCGTAAAAGAATTGCATTTCATAATACGATTTTTACGGCGAAAATAAATGATTTATTTACGTCAAATAAAAAATGTTAATCGAGAATTGATGAAAAGATACTTTTGTAGTATTCAATTGTCGTTTTTAATAAATTTAGAAAGTGAGATTTATTATCTCTCAATATCATTTTCGCTTTTTTGCGTTTTTTTAGATTGACACTTTTTTCGCGTCTCACAACTTGATATTCCGCGCAAGCCCTTCGGATTTTTGAATACCGCGATACTTTTACGATCAGCACCGTCGATGAAAGTCTTCCTCGTAGTCTCCGGCGAGGCTTTACTTAGAGAGTGAGTATGCGAGCGAGCCCTCTCGGTGATATAAAGGCTACCTCCTCGTAAGAGCCTCCGAGATTGCGGAGGGTTTCCGTCGCGCCTCGTATAACGCGGAAATCGTTCGAAAGTTAATTTGAAATTTATTCATGGACACCACGGGGGACCGGAGGTCGAGCATCGCTTGCATACGGGGTGTTTCTAGTCCTGACACCCTTCCCGTCTACGGATTCTTTGACCGATCTGAATTTTCTTCAGCAAAACGGCTGATGTACGTTACTTGTCATAAATTTTGATAAATCTTCAATATTTATATATTTTTATGATCAAATCTTTAAATTTTTAAATAAAGATTTACTTAATAAAAAAATAAAGGTAAAGTTTTACTATTTTGCTGTATTTAAAATTTAATTCGTAATAATTTAAATTATTTTCAAATACTTCAAAATTATTAAAAGCATATTAAATTCTTGAATATTTAATATTAAAAGTTTTATTAAAAATATCGACTTTAAATTGGTCAAGGAGGTACAAAATGTCTGTTTTATATTAGTCGCTTTCTTTTATTTATACATCTGCGGATTTGATTGCGTCAGGAAAACTTTCTTCCTGATAAAATTCTTAATATTTTTGAAATCTTATTTTAACTTGCATCACATAGACATCATATACAAATGGAGATGTTTGTCTGTCAAAAGTTATACGAATATAAGTAGCATAAAGAAAGAATCGTCCGGTAAATTAACGGCAAGTTTGCGAGAAGAGATTGGGTGACCTCACGACCGTTTAAAGCTAATTCACAGCGTGTCACATATATGTCACATGTCATGACTCGCGAGTGACGACTTGTGTTACATGGTGAATAGCATGTCGTAATTCTCAGAAAAAAATTAACATTTATTATTGACTTACGTATCTCTTGTGCGACAAATTAATCTATTGAAACAATTTTTTAACGATAAAAAAATTTAAATCTCTTTGTTCGTAAGTAGAATAGATGCCATTCACAAACAGGTCAGAATGATCTGAATAAAATTCTAATGAACATCTCGTTTTTAAACGTTAGTATATTTTGTGTTGAAAAAAGTTTAAAGAAAGTGAAAAGAATAATTAAAAGAAAGCGTTTCTTGTTGTTTTTCTAAATACATTTAAATTATCTGGAAACGAATCTTGAAATTTTTATTTTTTTAACGCTTGCAGTTATTTCTTTTTCTTTTTTTTTTTATTTGTGTTAAGTTCAGTTTCCCTTTGTGCTCGTCGTGCTCGTCACTTCCTGAGGCAGGTCGCAAAGGCTGGAATTTTTCACGAGCCGACTCGTCGTGTAGTAATTGCAGAACGAGACGGGTTGCGCTCATCCACTCCCTCCATCCGGTTTTTCATTTGGCTCCTTTTAACGTCGACCTTAAAATAAACTTTGCAGCCCTGCATGCCATCTTTCCGCGTCGCACTTTTCTTGTCTCTGTCGCCGAAACGTCGGCGACAGACGACTTTGGCGCCAAATCTTGCCGATAAAATATTCATGATAATGAAACGGCAAGAGGAGCTAAGCAAATATTTTCACGTTCTCCTTGAATCATGCCAATTACATTACGACTTTTTAACTTAAACTATTAAATTATACAATGTGTAACACGAAAAACTTATTACATAGCGCTGTAATCTATAGAAAATATGTCAGTTGACAAGATAGAGAGAATGTCCCTGCCAGAATGTCCCTGGCAGCACTTTACATAAAAAATGGGTACTCCCCTCGTTCGACGAAACCGTATCTGCGATAACGTTGTCGTCCCCGCCCTACTTTATCACTCGCAAGATTCCATAATATTTTTTCAAGAAAAAATCTTCTTTACTTTAGGTCGCAGCGTAAGCCCGAGACCGATGTCGCGATCGACGATGACCATACGAGTGTGTGAGGTAACGAAATGGCGAGAATGAGCAGCCCTTACTCCCCGAGCGTCGGTATCGAGTCGGTCCCTCGCAGGAAGAACGCGATAATCCGAGGAGGGAGGAAGCATAAGCGCGGGCTGCCAGATGCACTGAGGATCCTTCGGCAGGAAGCAGAAGTCGGCGGGCAGGGAGAGGCGTCATTATAAGGTCGACGAGCAGCGACGAGTCACGAACGGACGATGGACGAGATACGCGGCTCGTCATCGACTCGCCGTCTCTCGCAAATTCTCGACCCGATCACGCGGCTCGCCAGCGACTTCGGCTCCAACTCGGCGCCGTGCAGCCCGCGACTGGGCGCACGCGTGCAGGATGCGAGCGTCGGGCCCGCCGGCGCCGCCGCCATCGGTCAATCGGGCCCGATCGCCGCGGGTCCAGCCGCTGTCGCCGCCGCCGGTGTTTTATCGTCGTCGCGAGCGGGTCCAAGCGGCGCCGGGAGCTCCAATATCGGACCCGATAGTCCGCGATTGTGGCCACGACAGTTTCGACAGGCGCCAACGCCACCGCCACGGCCTAGGCACGTCGGCGCCGCCGCCGCCGCCGTCGCCATCAGCACCGCCAGTACCTCCACCAGCCTCTCCGTGAACGTCAATAACAACAATAACAACAACAATGCGGCAAGCGGCGCCGACAGCGGCGTGCCGCCGCCGCCGCCGCCGGTGGTGGTACACGCGAGAGACTCGCCCTACGTCAACGTGTCGAATCTGTTCTTTCAAAAGGACAAGAGCTTCTCCGAGAGCGCCAGGAGCGCCGGTTACATCGAGCTTCGCGAAAAGCCCAAGTGCAGCCCGTACGACTTCACGTCCGAGTCGAGCGGCCACGTGGAGTATGCGGATAAGAGGACGTTTGTCACTCCAGTTCAGTCCGACCTGGCCTACGATGTCGGAAAGGAATCGGGCAGTCCCCTGAGTAGAGGAAGGTTGAACTACGACCCGGGGCCTTCTAGCGGTAGAGGCCACTTCGACAGGGCGTTCTCGTTCTCCGGCAGGCAACCGCCGGAGCAACTACCGGCCTCGCGGATGTACGAAGCGGGCAGATTGTTTGTCGATCCGAGAGCCACCGGTGGCAACGTCGACCTGAAGAGGGAAAAGCTGGACGTCAGGCCAACCTACGGCACCTCCAAGAGCTTTGAGGGGTACACGACGACAGTGGAGGAGCTCAACTGGCAGGAGAGGTGTTTGGAGTTGCAGCTGGAGCTGCACAGGAGCAGAAGTCAGGCGACCAGGGTGAGGGACATGCTTCGGGAAAAGGTAAGTTCATTTGTTTGTTTTTTTCCGTGCGAATTAACTTTTTAGCTGCATGTAAAACAATTTTCTTGAAATTATCGATAAAAAAGATACAATTATATATACGTTTAATATTTTAGAAAATTTTTTGAAATATAAAGATATCGAAGTAGCTTTTTCAAAAATAATACATGATTATTAAATTTATTAAAGTCTATTTGCTCATTTAAATTATTTAAATATTTAAAGTATTTACATATTTACTTATTAAAGTCTATGAATAGGGCATTTGCAGCTAAGGAGTTAATTGTTATTCCACTGTTTCTGAACAGTGTTAAAGATGAAGTACAGTGCAATGATTGATGATCCAACAAGAAGACGATAACAAGTGCGTACATCGTTTATCTTATTTAATCGCCGTTGTGTTAGCCATTCGTGGTCAAGGGTCGATAGTTAACGAATCTGTCGTCCGAAATTTTATCCGATATACGTGACGCTAAACAAATTACGCAAGGCCTAAAGTGCGTAGCGGGGGAGAACCGAAATATATATTTCGCAGTCTGTATTAGTATGCACGGCCATGCGCGTCGATTTAACGCCGTCACCTTAGATAAGGCACACAGACGCATCGGCGTTGCTCGGCGTCGGCTTGTTTCCTGTCTCTTCAAAATGTACCGCATCAATCATTTAGCGAAACAAGCACCCGCGGACGACAGTTAATACGGCTGTTGTTTCGAAAAAAGGAAAAAAAAATACATTCCGCTGCACATTCTCTGTGCACACTGCACACGCTGCTCCGCGTGCGTCAGACAATGGCAAGCGTGGGAAATTAACTCGGACGCGTTTGAAGAATTCTTTCGCGTTTCACGCTTGAGAAATTTTGTAAGATTTGCATTAACGTGCGCGACATTTAGAGCAGAAAGAAAGGGACGAAAAATTCAGCGAAACCGCGCGCTGTTGCGGAGAGAAATAGCCTTCCGTTTCCCCCGGAGTTTCGCTTCGGTTTGATTCCCCGATGGTACGTTCGGGTTTGTTCGTTCATTCGTTAGACGTGTACGCGGCTTAACGCAAACAAACTGCCTCGCGCAAGAGACGGTGGGACACACGTCGGGCCGCGACGGCGGAATGGACGTGTATGGAGCACACGTTGACGAGGATTCAACGTCAGGCCGGAAATTATACGTCCGCCTCGGCGGACATGCCGTAATATCGCTGACGGTTTTTTTTTTTTTACGAACTTTTCCACAATACGTACCACCCGTTCCTCATCCCCCGCCCGCTCCACCCGCCGCGTTACAACGCGGTCGTTTTTATTTCTCACCGGCAGCAAACAGGGTTGAGAGCTAAACGACGAATCGGCAAACCGTATCGCGGATGTGCATCCGTATCGCAATGCGCGGATGGTCCAGATGATATCTTTTTCCGCATACTTTTTTATAGGTTGCTCGCGCAGGGCAGATTTTATGGACAAAAACTCGCGGTATTCTATTTCTGCAGCTTCGCAGCAGGATGGAAAGGATATTTTACAAACTGAATATTTTTGGAATGTGTTTTTAATTCTGTGTCACTTTCATTCTAAACCATATTTACTTGAAAACGTAAATTTAATACGTTTAAATAAAATTTACTAAATTATCCGGAAAAATGTTTAAAGTGAATAGCAATGCGAGCGAATGATTACATCAAAATTTCGACTGTAATATTTTCTTGGGAATGTCAAATTGGCCCCTATTTATTTTTCACATTGCACAGCTAGTATATTCAACCTCGCCGTGTTTCCTCTTGCGGCGTAACCTTTCGCTGAAAGCGGATGCTGTTTATATTATCGAAGCGGGGAGCCGCGTGCCCTGAGCGCGTGCAAAATTCAAGACGAAATCCTTGATGTATCTTGGGGCTATCTTTCGCACGGAAGGGATCCCAAACGGATTTACGAGTCGAGGCAATGGGTTTTCCTACCCTCGTGTGTGCTCTCGTGATAATCTCATTTTGAATAGTAAACATTTTTGTAACGCAAAGCGGATTTAAAATGCAACTATTTATGTATCGATATAAAACGTTTTTGCGTAAATATGTGAAAATTAGACGAGAAAACTCGATTACGTGAATCAAATCATTTAAAGCTTAATAATAAGCGGATTTTCAAATGGAATTTTAAATATGAAGATAAATTCCGTATATTTATAATATCGAAAGTGAACAAAATGAAGGTAAATGATAAAATTTTTTCTCACTGTTTCTCTCTTCCTTCTAGAAAGATCGATTGAAATTCGTATAACATTCGATCATTGATCCAATAAAAGTGGAACTTGTTGGATAATGTTTGCGTAAACTCATTAAAATTACACGTGCTCGAGTTTGTTTAATACACGAGCTTATCTTCCACACTGTGTTCGCAACACGTCGCTTATCACTCATCGTTTTCCGATGTGCACGTGGTTTAACGCGATATGCATGAGAGCACACGTACTACAGCAAGTTGAATAGAGAAAGGAGAGCGTGTAGAATCAATTGTGGATTATAAATAACGACCGCGCACTGAACTGACCGTGACGTCTCATTATCTAGGCAAACGCGGTACAATACGGCACGCCGACGGGGGATGGGATATTGTTCGAGCGTGCACATTACTCCATTCAATTCCATTTTCGAGCGACGTGTACTAGCAGCTATTTAAGCGTTCCCGATGTACAGCACGTCCCGCGTATCTAGCGATTCATTCCTCCATTCACGAACTCTTCATCTTGAAATCGATCTTTCTTTAACGAAGATATCTCGGGGCAATTCATTATTTCGTAAGTTTCCGATTTTCAGCATTATCATTGCAATTAATCTCAAATTGTAAATTTGATGAAGTAAAAGGAATTTGAATCCGCGTGTGCGTTTCTAAAGTTAAACTTTCGAGGAATTTTTTTTCAGCAGTCGCAAACCAAAAACAATTGAGGTCTCGATATTTTTTGTTTTTAGCAAAAACCGAAATTCTATATTTGTTTAAAAATATTTAGACAGAAGGTGGCCCAGTGGTTTTGGTACATCCAGTATGTACATATGTTCGTATTAATATTGATTCCTCCCACGTACGTGGCGTTAATGGAAGTCCTCACGTCAATAGACACACGAGTCTTCGAATACGCCGATACGGATTTCAAAGGATGTCTATCAATGCCACAACATTCGAGAAACAGTTCTTTTATCGTACTTATTCGCGTGTAAAAATGTAATGAATTATTTTACCGTGCAAAAAAGAAACTCTTTTATTTTAATCCCCGAGGAAGGGAAACCTCGCATTAAAGTAAAATAACGATATTAATAGTTATGTAACATTGAAAAACCGGTTTGCCCGTTGTAACTTTTCTAGACAAAAAACACGCTCTCTGTATTAAATTAAAAAAAAAAAGAATAGAACCTTCCTGTTTTATATGTCTTGTAAATTAAAATACGCTCGACGTTGGGGACTACGCTTTTCGAATATACCTCGTACGTGAATGCGACAATAATGAAACATCAACGAAATTAAAATATGGCGGAGGAATTGTTCCGCGATAATTTCATTTACTTTCTCCGGTAATGGAACGTTTAATATTGGCAACCGGTTTGCAATTAAACCGATTAAAAATTTATATTACCATGCCATCAGTTACCACTCTCTTTCCTCTCTCCGTGCATTTGGTCCTCGCGCTGATGAGTTTTCACACTAACTTAGCTTTCCTCCGAAAAAAAACCGATATTTCATTACGCGTTACACAGAGAAGAAAAGGACCTCCTTTTTCTTTTTTTTTTATTGGAATTGTGTCTTCCATGCGTGTCTTTCGTGATGGAGCACTTTTTCTTCTTTCTATCTCGCTTTTTATTTTCTGCTTTCTTTACGAATGCCCCTTTTGGGACTATCACTTTTTTCTAATTCTCTTATCAGTTTCCGCAAAGCGCAGCACGCGCACAGGAAACTGTCAAAAATTGACGGAAAGTTTCTAGCGCGGAGAAAAATGCACGGTGAAGGACGGGACAAATAAAGACGGATAGGTGACTCGTCTCTCCATCGATATACGAACGACGGACGCACACGCTCGACTCTCCCGGGACCTATACGAGTCAGAACACTGGTTAGCATTGCCGTGTGCGTGAAATATCCTCCATTATCTTGATTTGTTTGCGCCTACCTTGAGTGCGTGCGCCATATTTCGAACGGTTAATTTGTTGATCAAATCGCGCACTGCGCGCCTGTAGCCTTTAATTTTTCATCCTAACGGATTGGTATCGAAAGTTTCCGCACGTGGCACTGTTTTATTGCCGCAGTATCGACGTGGTGCTAAATCAATCGCCTTGAATCTGTAATTCGCGACAATACGTCTTTCGTTAAAAAAAAAAAACGAAACAATGACATATTTATCACTATAAAGACGAACGTCTTTTCAAATACATCTTTAGGATTCAGTATAAAGTTTAGCACAGATTTGAAATCACCGCACAATCTGGAAAATCAGAACTGTCTCAATCAATCCGTTGCTACATCTGATTCTCGATTCCAGAATAGACCCCAATCAACGTGATTCTACAGAAAATAAGACATTTACAGAAATTCAATCGGGACATTTCTACGGTATTCTTCTCCGATTTTCGTTTGTCGAACTATGAGAGTGCATTGAAATTTTTCAAAGTTTCCGTGTCGTTGAAAGAGAATTAATTTCATCACAATTTCATGAATTTAATTCTAGATAAATTATTTATCAAAAGATAGTTCTAATCATTACGGTTATATTACCTTTACCTGTACAGATTATCGATAGGTATTCCGTCTGTAACGTAATAGGAACACACAGTGGGTACAAATGTTACATGTACGTCTCTCCAAGTGCGCCTGTGTGTGTACGTTTGATAAAATAGGTAGACAGAGCGAGACAGGGAATTACAATCTGCAAAGTTCTCGTAGTAACGGACGTCTGTGTCGGATAGTACAGTGCCAAGAGCCGCGGACATTGTGCCCAATTAGTAGTTAAGCTTACACGAAACTTCGACGAAATTCAAGTTTG